TTTTTTGTATAAGATGATGTTATGGGGTAGGACTGGATAAGTCTGACTTCTTCCTACTCCATTCAAGCATGTACTAGGTATAAGCAAACTGATTCTGGATTAGCATTGGTTGGATTTGTGTAATTATGTGTGTGTTGATGTCATTTGTTCTGCATGTTTGAAAGAATAAATCAAATCAAAGCAAATCAAATCATCAGAAAGCTTGATACACTTTAGTCTGGCCCAAAGACAGACATGGCACCGCTGAGAAAAATACACATAACTAATAAAAGTTGCAGAAAAATACTGAGCTGAGGTAGTGATCAATATCTCAGCAATGACACTGAAACAATTTTCAGCCCTGGCTGTTCTTTCTGTTGAAGCAGGAGGCTGAATCATTAGAAGTTGCCACACAAAAAAATGTTAATAAAGGAAATGTACTTGAGAAGTGAAGCAGCAAAACAGAGGCAGCATATGAATAGACACAATGTGGAGTTCACTATTTACAGACCACTGTCTTCCTTTGGATTTAGTTTGGTGTTTCTGCAAGTTAATAATAAACATAAATCTATCAGGCTTTTATAATTACTGCATTTATTGTTCTGCTACTATTTGGTATCTGCCTAAGGTGATAAATCACAGAGAAACTTATCAAATGCATGGGTCTAAAGTGAACTTTTTATACCACTGAAATGCAGTTAATATGGTGGTATATTATGGAGATAAAATACTATCAAAAATGTTACAAATCCGTGTTTAACGTTTTGTCTGTAACAAGCGATTTGTGTGTGTGTGTGTCATGCTGTTCACAAATGTGTGCTGTACAAACTGCACATAAATCACATTTTACAAATGCTTAAAATCGATTTTTTGTGTGCAGTTCTTTAGAAAGTACGTACACATTGTTACCTACGCATGCGTGGATCGTCTAACACACACGAATCACCTTCCGCGCACACACGGATTTTTGAGAGTGTTTTTCCGCACTCTCAAAAGTCCACGATCCACGAATGCACGGTGCGTTTAAGGACACGTGGAAAACTCGGACATCTGAGTTTCCAAACCTGTTTCACAAACAAAAGTATTTACACAACGCTATTCCAAATGGACATTACATAAAATAAACAAAAATAT